GACAAAGACATTTACTTAAATGTTGAAAATGGAAATAAGGTAATATGTATACCTGGAGTGCACCACCACCAGTTGAGCAAGGGCTCAATTTGAACTACCTTCTTGTGCCTTAATAAGTTTGCCACAACACATGTGGGTACATATCAAAACGTAAAATATTTGAAATAATATACATATATAAATACATAACAGTATATTACTTTTAAAATATAAAAAAACTTGAGTGGGGGCCTGGGACCACACTGGTCCTAGTGTGGCTCCGCCCTTGCCCCCGTCCCCCTAGTAGCACTGCCGTAAAAAAACGACAAGTTACACTCCTCGTACAGGACATCAACTAGAAGATCTGGCGGATCTTCAAACCAAGTAGTCATAGTGCCAATATGGGAAGCATAACGTGCCAGACGATGAGCCGCTCCATTTGCAACCCGACGGATATGGGTAAAACCATCCCCAGTGATCTGGGTTAGCAGTGCCTTAGTGTCTTCCACCACTGGGCCCACATTGGACCTATCAACAGAAGAACTTCGGATTGCTGACACGATCTGGAGAGAATCACTCTCAAAAATTGCATTATTAAAATCCCCTTCCACCGCCAAAATTGCTCCTTCGCGAGCTGCCATTGTTTCAACTTGTAAAGCTGAGAAAACATTGTCCACATGCAACGCTCTGCCCGCAACAAACTTGCCATTAGAATCGCGCACCATTATTCCCATACCTCCATATGTATTACCTGTTATCCAAGAGCCGTCCGCATTAATTTTTAGACTTCTAGCGCATGGTTTTGTCCATAACAGCCCCGACCAAGAGCAGCCCCCTGGGGCCGAGCACGAACAAAATCAAGTAGACGAACAGCAGCACTAGAGCTTGTGAATTCTGGTTTGGGTGTTTGGTTATTCCATAACTTGCCATTTCGAGCCTCTCAGATTGCCCAACCAGTAACAAAAAGAGGTCCAAATCAGCATATGATAAATGGTCAATACGTGAGAGGACCCCATCATGCACATGGTGATATTGTTGAGAGATGTCAATGCTGCCAATTAAAGCATAGGCCCAGACTCCTCTTGCAAATGGGCAATGCCATAACACATGCAAATTAGACTCCATTTCAGCCCCACATAAGTCACAGCATGTATCCAAATGTATCTTTCGTTTCCACAAGTTGTCCTTGGTTGGTAGAATGCCAGTGCAAGCTTTCCACCAAAACAATTTTATCTTGCTTGGAATCTTTGCCTTCCAAATAGCAGTCCACCCTTTACTAAAACCATTTCCAGTTGATGACGACGCCAGAGTCTGGGGATCAAGAACCGTACGGGCTACCTTGTAAGCACTTTTGACAGAGAATTGACCTTTTTTGTCAAAATGCCAGCGTCGACCCTGTGATGGAAGCTCAGCGAAAGAGTTCGAATCACATCCACATTGGGAGGGTAAAAGAGATTAGATAGAAGGCTAGTATTCCAGCGTCGGGGGTGGTCAATAATAAGCTCCTTCACCTTGGTAATAGCGCAACCGGTGGGTTTTGGTGAGATAACCCGAAAGGTAGAAGGGCGTGGCAGCCATGGGTCCTTCCAAATATCAATCTCTGCCCCACTGCCCACCTGCCATCTAAATCCCTGCAAAAGAATT